GTTTATTTTTATTATGCAATGTTTAGGTATGTGTCTGTGTGTGGCATGAGTATGGACATTCAGGCTAGAGGCCTGGGATCCCCTGGTGCTTGAGTTATAGGCAGCTGTGAGCCACCCACGTGAGTGCTGGGAACTGAACTTTGAGCCATCTCCCCAGCCCCTCCCCATTTTTACTTTATTGGTTTTTGAGACTGGGTTTCTCTGTGTCGCCCTAGCTGTCCTAGAATTCACTCTGTAGACCAGGTTGGCCTCAAACTCAGAGATCCTGCCTGCTTCTGCCTCCCAAGGGCTGGGATTAAAGGTGTGTGCCACTATCAACGGGTTCCATTTTATATTTTTAAAATTATTTTTATGTGTATGAGTTGTTTTACCCACATGTATGTTTGTGTATCATGTGTGCCTCATGGCTACAGAAGCCGTAAGAGGGCACTGGATCCCCGGGACTGGAATTATAGATGGTATGAGCCCAGCCGTGGACGCTGGGAATTGAACCTGAGTTCTCTGGAATAGCAGCTGGTGTCATTATCCCTGGGCTATCTTCTTTCCGGTCCTATTTTTAACTCACTGGTCTATGTGGAAACCTGAGGACTAAGCCTATGTCTCATGGCAGCACACAGCAGGAAGGCTTCCAATGTGCAGGCACAGGTCTGGTGGCCCCGGTCATCTCTCCTCGGACAGACCTGTCCTGTCCTGTCCTGCCTGGCTGCTCTGCAGGCCTCACCACAAGCACAAAGCTCCTGCTCTGGAACCTGCTGCTACCAGAACTAAGCACACTGCTGCTGCTTGGGTTGTGGGACTGGGTCTGGACTGTGAGCTGCTAGACATGGATATGTGAACAGGCTAGGTCACATAACGGCGAGCCTCAGTTTACCCATCTGCAGAGTGGCCTGGACTTGGGACTGGCTGGGATGAGGTGTGGCCTAGCTAAGGGCTGCAGTGCCCTTACCTCTTCCTGTTCCTCCTCACTGTCGTCGTCACTCACAACTGGCTTGGCCCGGGACCCCCGGCTTGGCCGCCGGCGGCCCCCCTTCAGTCGGTCCTGGGCCTTCTCCTTGCGGCCCAGCTTGATCTTTACCTTGACAGAGCGGGCTGTGGGGCAAAAAGGAAGTAAGGGTTCAGTGAGGCCCAGCTGGCACCTCAGGTCATCTATGAGCGGCTGCACTGCAGGTCTCTGCCCCTTTCCCTTACTCACACTCAGACTCGGAGCCTTCCTCCTCACCCTCCTCTTCCTCTTCACTTTCTTCCCCTTCACTGTCATCCTCCTTCTCGATCTTCTGCCGCACACTGGTGAAGACAGACTGCAGGACGATGGAGTCCTCGTAGATCTGTGAGGACAGAGGGCTTGTGTGGCTTTCTACTGGAGCCCTGCTGTTGTTCAGCAAGGCCACCCCACAACCCTTCCCTGGATGACAAAATGCCGTTTGTGCACTGGCCAGTTTCTCCCTCACTGACTCCACTTTTCAATGCCCTGATGTCTACAAAGATGGACGGTGTCGGAAACACACAATCCTGCTGGTGTGGCACTTCCTTGACCTAACAAAGCAAAACCCATCTCCTGGAAGCCACCCCTCTCAAAGGTGGGAGGAGCCTGCCAGATGCAGGATGGGGACCACTGCCAGGCATTTCCTCACAGAGACACTTGGTGCCGGGCAGTGGTGGCGCACGCCTTTAATCCCAGCACTCGGATCTCTGTGAGTTCGAGGCCAGCCTGGTCTACATGAGTTCCAGGAAAGGTGCAAAGCTACACAGAGAAACTCTGTCTAAACCCATGCAGGCATTCCCTCACAGAGACATCCATATATAAAGTAAACTGAACTGGAGACAGGCAACATGGCTGGTAGGCAGCTGTGTGTGGTCTCTGCACCACTAAAGAAGAGACATTGCTTTCGGCAATAGTGAACAGCCCCAATTGCTGAAGCCCAACAAACCAAGCCCATGAATGAGCTGCAGAGGGATGAAGGGCAGGTGGCATGATGGCCGTGAGGGTGCTCACCAAGGAACCCTCGAGGTTGAACGTCTGAGCATTCTGGCACAGCAGCATCACATCCTTCTCCAGGTCATTGAGGCTGCGGTACTTGTGGTTTCGGATGCGTTCCTGTGGGGAGGGAAGGAGGGAGGGAGGCCTTACTCTGGGCACCCATGGCCTCCTGCCTGCCCACGCTGTGACTGCTGGGCTGACCTGGCTGTCCTCCCACAGCCCCAGTCTCGGCACCCACACACCTTGATCTTCTTGAAGTCCACAGGCTTTCGGATGAGCTCATAGTACTCGGGAAGCTCCTTGCGCGAGGGCAGCTGGATGAACACCTCGCTGAGCTGACGTCCACTACTGCTGCAAGATGACACAGTGTGTGTCACTCCCAGGTGTCCCTGAGAGGGACATTGTACCACCACACAAGGACAGAGGACCAAAATTTCAAGACCAGGGAGTCCTTTTATCTTTCTGAGACAGTGTCTCGTTACAAAGACCAGGCTGGACTCAAACTGAGAGATCATCAGCCTGTCTCCTCCCAAGGGCTGGGACTGAATGTGAGCACCCCACTCCATTTAAGTGTCTGAGGTCTTCTGACTGCTAAAACGTTCCTGACAGATAACCAGGTCCTTGGCAGGCTGTGTATGCAGTCTGCTGCCATCTCTAAGCCCAGCCCTGGAAGGAGTGTCACATTGCCACCCTCAGGGTACAGACAGCCAGGACAGCCTCTGCCTCCTGAGTGTTGAGATTCAAGTGCTCACCACCACACTCATCTCACCCTACTTTTTATACTACGAAAGCCATACATGTTTGAGCAGGAAGAGCATGACAGGTACCTTCTTGAGACCACAATCCCCAAAGGCAGAGGCCTTCAGAGCATATGGCACAAACCCCAGGATGAAAGAGGCTGAGTACAGCTGTGTCCTGGGCTCTCCAAAGGGACACCTGCTGCTTCCTACAAGGGTGGACCGTGGCTTGGGACCACCCAGACTGCTGTCTTGGCTCCTGATCCTGAAGTGCTCACTGTAGTGGCCCTGCAGAAAGTAGTGTGAGCAGGCTCTGCGGAGAGTCTAAGTGCAGATGGGACCAACCACATCCACCAGCGGATGGAGGGAGGGAGGGTGGGAAGCAGGCTCCCTAGGATCTGTGTGGCTGGTGCAAGGGGCAAGAATGCCCTGTCTTCTGGTCCATCACCTGACACACAGTTGCCCAGTCCTTCAGAGTTCTCAAGTGGCAGGCAAGCCAGTGAGCGGGGTAGAGGAGACCATGCCTACCAGGGCCAGGAAGCAGCTATCTGTATGGAGGAGGGTCCTTGGGGCACTGAGCTCCACAACCACCTCACGAGCACCCTTCTAGTCTTGATTCCCTTTCTTCTTTCTCACATAGGTCAGCCTGGCCTCCAACTTGCTGTGTTGCTAAGAATGACTCTGAACTTCACTCTTTCTCTTCTTAAAAACCCTAAATTCAAAATAGGCGGGGGTGGTGGTGGTGGTGTGGTGGTGGTGGTGGTGTGGTGGTGGTGGTGGTGGTGGTGTGGTGGCGGTGGTGGTGGTGGTGCACACTAACCCCAGTGCTCAACAGGCAGAGAGAGGCTCTCTGTGAGGCGAAGCTAGCCAGTCTACACACTGAGTTTCAAGGCAGCCAGGGCTACACAGTGAGAACCCATCTCAAAAACCGACCACCAACCACACGCCACACTCCAGTGGCTGTCCCACACCAACGAGACTACGGGCAGCACAGACTGGAGTTGGTGGGGTGAAAAAGAAACATTAGAAGGTGGAGGTAGATAATGATTAGGGTGCCGAGTAGGAAGTGACTATGATCAAAATAATAAAAGTTTTCGTTTTGTTTTAGAAAAGTCTAAGTGGCTAGGCCTGACTGAACTCATTGGTAGAGTGTTTGTCTAGCATGCACAAGACCCTGGGTTCCATCTCAGCACCACAAAAAGAAAAAGAAAAATCTCAGTGCATGGCAGTCACAATCCCTCATACAGACACAAGAGTCCCTTAGACACAACAGCAAGAGGAAGCTTTGTCCCTGCATGACACGTGCCATACAGAGCAACTGCCACCACACACAGCAGCAATTCAAATTCTGCTCCTGCTGAGAAAGCAAAGGTTCCAGCTGTGTTCCAGCTGTTCCTCCATCCAGCATGGGGGCCAGGTGCATGTGTGCGCATGCGCGGGCAGCAGCAGCAGCATATGGACATGCCCGGCCTGTGTATAGAACTAGAATCTTCCTCCTCCTTCAAGAAGGCCAGAGCACATCCCCTCCAGCAGTGGATGTGGCTTAGCCTAGCTTTCTGCACCTGCAGATATCCCTGCTGTGGGAGTTTCCTGTTCCTACTGAAGGGCACTGGCCAGGTCTCCTGAACCGAGCCGTGCCCCAGTCCCTGCTGTGGAATCGTCTAAGCAGAACCTACTGACGGCAGCAAGGCTTCCTTCAATCCTGACTCTTAGCAAGAACTGTTTCCCACTGATGCAGACAGGTGGGCATAGGCATACGAATAGCACTTAACAAGCTGGTGAGGCCCAGGAGTTCAAGCCCAGCCTGGACAGCTCAGTAAACCTTGTCTCAGTAACAAAAGATGTCCCCAGTGTGGCAGGCTTAAGAGCCCCCCCCCCTTTAAATTCAGGTGACGCAAACGCAAAAGGAAGAGCCTTGAGTGTTTTGAAACAGTTCACTTTCCCTTCAGCTCTGCAACACTTGGATAATCCTAAAGAGACCCCTGTCTCAAGTTTCCCCTGGTATTCAGGCATTTGGATGACGACCCACTGGTGTGCCTGTGGGGACTGCCTTGACTGTTATCTGATAAAGGAAGCCCCAGCCTAGAAGCGGGCAGTATCATTCCCTGGGCTAGAGTCCTGAACTGGTAGGTGTGGAGAAGGCCAGCAGAGCAGGGGGCATGCGTTCATTTCTCTCTGTTCTTGACTGTGCTTGTGATGGGTCTAGTTCCTGTCTTGACTTCCTTCCCAACGAGGACAGACTGTCCCTGAACTCTGACCTAAGTAAGCCCTTCTTTCTTCCTCAGCTGCTTCTTCTCAGGGCATCTTATCACAGTACCAGAAATGAAACCAGGCCCGGTGGTGACCAAAGCTGCTGCAGCCATTCTCCTGTGGTCTGGAGATGGCCTTCCCCGGGAGTGGCTCGCCATCTAGACCAGTGCTTCTCACCCTTCCTGATGCTGAGACCCGTTAACACAGCTCCTCTTGGTGTGGTGACTCCCAACCATTAAATGATTTTGTTGCTACTTCATAATTGTAATCTTGCTCCTGTTACAAATCGTAATGTAAATATCTGATCTGGGACCCCCAAAGGATTAGAAACCCATAGGATGGGAACCACTGATCTAGAGGAAGCCGGCAGTTTTCTGGATTGCTTAGTATTGCTCAGTCCAGAACCTGGTTGACACCTACCTTTGTGGGTAAGTCGTGTGGTCAACCTGACATAACTGCCATCTGTCTCCAATCCAACCCTGAGGAGTCCTGGGCTGTAAACAAAGCAATGCTGACTGACTTCTGCGTCTTCTAAGAATTTTCTTTTTGTTTCTGAGTTCCTTCCCTCTACACACTGGCTGGCCTGCAACTAACTCACTATATGGCTCAGGCTGGCCTCAAAAATCACAGAGATCTGCCCCGTATGCCCACCTCTTCTAGCTCTCTGCTCTCTGGGATGCTGACAGTGCGTCACTCCACGCTATTCCTGTTGGTGCTATCACAGCACCTGGCACCAGAGCTCAAGGCCACCTTCCATCCTGTGACGCGCAGTGGGGGCTGCTGGAGGACAGCTGGACTGACAGAAAATTCTGCTCTTAGCAAGTTAAGCCACACAGCTCACCAGGCAAGCACACTTGCCTTTGCACAGGAAACTCACACGGGGATACTATGCCCTGGTGCTACCTGCCACTCTGTCTGCACATAGATATGGCACGTGGTTACTGGGTAGATATTGGTCCTCTGCTATAATTCAGTTTGGAAGATTGACAGTTGTGATCAGACAGACCATGGATGGTACGAGACATTCTTCCTGGAAAGAAAACATAGGAGCATGTCCCAAGAACCTGAGGAACAACAGCACCCTTGAGGAAGAAAGGCCTACACAGTCCCTTCCTTTTTCAGAAACATGAGTGAACCCTAGGGCTGTGCACAGGCGAGGCCAGGCACTCACTGTGAGGACCTCTTGGGCAGTCAATGCCATACTTTGGGAGGCTAAACTTCACAACTGAGATGCAGTACCACGCAGGCTCCCTCCCAATCCCCGGGCCCACTTGCCAAGCTTCCTAGCTCCCAAGCTCTTCCAGACTGTCCACTGACATCAGCACTGAGTGCCACTCCCCACGTAACCCTATCATCATACACCTCACCTTGATGCAAATGGAACCTTTCTCGAGATCTCTGGCACAGGCTGCTTCTAACTCCACCCACACATTTCTCATGATGCTGGTACTGAACCAGCCTTACACATACTAATCAAATGCTCAGCCATGGAGCATGCATGCATTCAGAGCCTTGCTCTTGACTGGATGTGATGTAACTAGATGTTGGAAGTGGAAATGGCCTTGACTTCACTGCTCTGATGAACTGTAACCTGGAATTGTGAGCTAAAAACTCCCTTTCTTCCTTAAGTTGTTATCTTCAGGGTGTCTTATCAGAGCAACAGGAATAAAATGCGGACACATACTGGAAAAGGAAGTGCTCGGTCACAGAAAACCCTCCCAGGCACTAAGTTGGCAGCAGAGGGATGGCCTGGGGCTACTGCATCCACTCCGGCTCTTTTCCTTCCTTAGTCATTCTGCAGTGAGGCTGTGACCTGGCATCTCTATGGTATGAGCTGTGTTTCTGGGTGCACAGTGAAGCTAAGCACCATCCTGAAGGCTGCGAGCACCCTGCAGCCTTTTCCAGAAACTGTCAGAACCTGGGAGTTCATCTTTCTGGGAAGGGGGTTTGGACTCGATTATGGCAAACACCCGTTTGATGAGTGGCTCATTCCATTCTCTTCTCGGTGTTCTGGGCTGAACAGATCTAAAGTCTTAGGGACTCACTGTCCCGTTGAAGAGACATCTGCCTAGCATCACACTGGATAGACATACACTTTGAAAACGTCCCCACCACACCACTAGCTGAGGATTGATCACCCTGACAAGATGCTCTCTCCAGTTGTTCTCAGTATTCCCACCCTGTCCTGCCTGCCTGCCTGCCTCCTCACCCACGGCAAGCCACGAGTCACAGACTGCACTACTGTTTACAAGTCTTACCGGCATGGGACGAGACAGGCACAAAGGAAGAAAGATGTGTCCAGGTGTCCTGTGCACACCACCTCCTAACAGACCCACTGCAGAGCTCCCTGCAGATGCCACCTGCCTACCCGTGCCTCCAGTCGGACGTGCTCTGGTGCTGATGAAAGCCTCTGCAGGATGAGAACTGAGGGAAATGGAAGCTGAACCTCCCAGTGCCTGAGTGGCATGAACGAGCTAGGAGAGCCCTGCTTTCAACCCAGATCCAGGAGGGAGGCCATGGCCATGGCTTCCCAGTTGGGTTTCATTGCTTTAGCCACAGCCAACGATAAGGGGGACAGTTGGGGACAGTGCTGCTCTGTTTCTCTGTGCTGACTCCTAGAGAAGAGATCACCACTACTTCATTCCCTGTCCTGTTTTACCACTACAGAAGGGACACCATCTAGAGCCCAGGCTGCAGTTACTGAGGCCCTGCCAGGGAGGACCCAGAGTTGGTTTACAGGCCTCTTGGGAGCCAGCAGCCTGTGTGGGGCTGTTGACTGTGCTGCCACCACATGGGCAGGGCCTTTCTCCACCCTGGCTCAGTGTTCAGGAACAGCTACTTGTCAAAGTCTTCTCTTTTTTGTTTTTTCAAGATAAGGTTTCTCTGTGTCGCCCTGGCTGTCCTGGAACTCTCTATGTAGACTAGGCTGGCCTCCAACCTAGACATCCACCTGCCTCTGCCTCCCTAAGTGTGCACCACCACGGCCATAAATGACCAAGTCTTTTAAAGACAGAGTCTTATGTGTCTCAACTTGGCCTTGAATTCACTTCTGATCCTTCTGCCTCCACTTCCTCAATGCTGGTGGTTACAGGTGCACACTTCCAAGGTGCTGGGATGGAACCCAAGATCTTGTGCATGCCTGGCAAACACTCTGGCAAGGGATGCACAGCCCAGCCCTGGAACCAAAGGTTTTATTATGGTGTCATGCTGGTTAACAATGGAATATGAGCCTAGGGTTTGAGAAGTCTGGAAGACTTCCCATGGAGCCCAGTGCTGTATAGGACACAATTCAACACCTTCATCTGATGAAGAGAGCCTGAATATGGCATGACAGTGGTGGAAGTCAAGCAGAGAACGGAACAGGTGACCACAGGTCCATGGTAATGCCAAGAAAGCATCTGAGGACTAGGAAGCAGATGCAAAGGGACAGCAAGGCCAGTCATGGCTCTCCAAGTTATCTGAGGCTAGAGGCAAGATGGAGGAGGCCCGAGGTCTGTCTGCAGTACTGGGTGACAATAGCCCAGACTGAACTTGTCAGCATTCCATCTGTGACTATGGCAGCAATCTTGCTGTCAAAGGACACCTCAATCCTCTTTTGAGACATCAGGAACTTGGGAGCCAAAGGACCACGGGATATTCTGATCTAGTAGAACACATGGGCTGGGGAGTTTGAGGTAACTGGGTGAGGAGATCATGCCATCGAGGGGCAGCCTATACACCATGTGTGGAGGCTTAGCAAGTGGAACCTGGGACCTTCTGCTGAACAGAAGGCCTTCCCAGGGACATAGGCTGCTGCTGACTCCAGGGGGACAGAGCAGTTGGGCAAAGGACCCAGCTGCTCCAGACTCTACACAGCATCCTATCTATCAGTCTTGCCTGTAAGCTATGGACTGATCACTGGTTTCATTATTAGCTGCCTGTTTTCCTTCGTGTGTAAATGTTTGGCCCAGTACATGAAGCCCAAGGTGGAATCTGCCTTCTAATCAGAACAGGTGGAGCTTTTCCAAGTAGATTCTAAGGTGAGCTCATAGTCTTAGGTGGCTAGACAAGGAAGCAGGCCAGGGCTGCCCTGAGATGCTGAGTGAGCTCTGTCTGTGGCCTGGCCTGGGGCTCACCTGGCCTTCCTCTAGCCAAAGTCTGCTGCAGCTTCTGGGCCAGGTGGTAAGCAGATGGTGCTGGCCATAAACATGGAACCAGTAGGCAGCAAGCCCAGAGGTCACTCAAAGGCTGAGGGGCTGGAAAGCCCTGGGGCTAATCTGCCCCATCTTCCCTGAGGACTGGGGCCTGGTTCCTTTACTTAGGAGGACAGATTTAATTGAAGAGGTACCTCAGGCAACAACCCACACTTTTTTTTTCCCCATAGAGCACAGCCTCTCTCCTCTGAAAAACATCTACCTTCTGCCTCTGTACACTGAGTAGGGACTGGAAGGAGACAGTATGGCTTGCTGAGAAGTCCTGGGCAGTGCTGGGTTTATTTCTGGGCCTGAAGCTCCATCCTGCCCACATTCACTTTTCCATGGGCCTGACCTCTCAGTCTTGTTTTTCCATTTGGAAATAGAGGCACAAGGATAGAAGAGAATTCCAAAATCTACGACTCTCAAACTTCCAGAAAAAGAGATGGGGCCAGATATGCTCAGCTTGGTAGTGTGAATGTGCCCACCACCCACAAGTGTCAAGTGCAGAAACCATCCCCCTTTCTTCTATAACCCACAGTGTCAACTTGTGAGGCAAACATGTCACTATGACCTCAGCACCAGTGTGGAATACACATTCTACACAGCAGCAAGGGCTCCGAGAGGTCCACAGCCTGGGGTAGCGGAGGCGGCACCCTCTAGTGCGCTGAGACCTGTCCCTATGCACTTGAAAGGATCTGCCTGCTGCCCTTGCTTTTCCCTGGCCCAGGACAAGGTACACCCAACCCCTGAGTCCATACTTAATTTTCATCTATGTTTTGCTTTCAAAGTAAAAACCTGTATTTCCCACGTCATTCTGGCAATATGGTCTTTGGCTGGCTGTGTGCTGTGGTGCTGGGGGTGGTGCTGGGGATGGTGCTGAGCCCTGCGTGTGCCCGGCCCAGCTTTGCTCTTAGTCTGGCAGGCTCTCCAACGTGGACAGAGGGCTGAGACTGCAGGGAGAGCAGCTCACCCTCGCAGACCTCTGTCCTGGGTACCAGCACTGCCAACTCTCTCTGCCAACACTGTCTCCTCTCACTGACCCTTACCCTCCTCTTCTCCCAGGGCTCTGCTCATGTGGGCAATC